ACGTTAAACGTTAACGTTAACTTAACGTTAACTTAACGTTAACGTTACGTACGTACGTAGTACGTAAGTAGAGTAGAGTAGTAAGTAGAGAGTAGAGAGAGAGAGAGAGAGAGAGAGAGAGAGAGAGAGGGAGATTTTCCTAAGAGCATAAAGGACCAAAAGTTAGGGCTAATCAATAACAGAATATAAAAAAAAAACAAAAGGAATGACAACTAACCTCATGTGTGTTGCCTCCAGCGCCTTGGTAGCATCCTCCTGATTTTCAAACTGGATGAATGCAAAATTCCGCCTGATCCTAATATTCAAAACTTTACCATATGGTTCAAAATGCTTTTCCAAATCTCGCACTCTGGTATTGATCGGATCAAAATTGATAACAAACAAAGTTTTTGTGGGCCTCAGATTGTTGGATCTTCTTGCACCAGGAGGCCTGCGAATACCACGTTCTTGCTGCACAAGTGTATTAAAAAATTCATTCCCCTAACCAATGGAAACAGCGAACGGAGATTTATAACATTTAACATTATTTAGTTTTCCTCCTTTTCTCTAGCAGAACTTTTATCTCTAGCATGCATACTATGATCCACCCCCCCCAACCACCTGAGAGGAGCATATGGTTTATTAACTCCCTTGGTCAAAAGACCTGCCTAGAAGGGTGTTTCAGTCTGAAACTTTGAAAACCACCTAAGAATCACTAGATGATTGTTTTCAAAATAAAATAAAAAAATAAATTGAATTTTGAGGTTTCTAACACTTGGATCACACCTTCCAAAAACTAGACGGTCATTATTCAATCTTAAGAAAGTGCAATTTGGCATTTATTTATTTATTTACTGAGGTTAAATTACAACATCAAAATTTGGGATTCTAAAATTACTCCCAGATTGGGTTTTCCCCGAGGAGTATACGCCTGTGGAAGTATTAAACCGTTTGGGCTTATTTTCTCTATGAATATATCTCAGTCAAAATTTAGTCTCCCACCCAAGCCTAGATTCTTCTGAAACTAATATTCTAAGCATTACCTTAGTCCACTCAACACGAAGGCGACGCCCGGACCTGCCAAACTCCATCCTGTCAAGCCCACGGATGGCATCCTCAGCATCACGTTCATCCTCCATGTAAATGAAAGCAAATCCTATAAGAAGAAATCAGTAGAATTAACTAGCCACTTCACAAATAGGACATTGTCATCCTGTATTAACTAGCCACTTCACAAATAGGACACTTGGTATAAGGTGGACATCTTGGACAGAACCCATTTAAAAAATATATTAAAAAACTCTGCATCCCTGCAAACATTAAAAGTAAACACAATAACCCCTTTCAAAAAATCAAACTGACCAAAAATATTGGAAAACAGACCTTGCATATATGATGAACTAAATGATGTCAAGGAAGAATAATCCAAAAGAGGGTGTCTCAGAGGTGGTCATCATCGCCGTGTTTTGTGCTCCTTGAAATGTGTCTGAAATTTGAATACTTTGGCTTATGGTCATTATTCATGAGGAAAGAAGAGCAATGATCTCTCGTGGAAAATGTGAAATGAAGATGCCACTGATGATTAGGTCGGCTCTTTTGAAAGACAAGAGGATGAAGCCGCAAGCCAGGAAAGGTAAGGCACAAGAGCCCGACAGCCAGGAAGAGCTTGGGAGCTCCAAGACAATCCCTGCGCCAAAGAAATGCTTGAGTATGGGGGCTTTTACACTTGAAAAAACAAGCTTCTTTAAATTATCCTTTTTACGCCAGTGGGGAGGGGCTCGATGAGAGAGGATGCTGACACCATAACACAACATAGTCCATTGATGCCAGCCAAGCAACCAAAAGATTGATGGCCAAGAATAAGGACAGCTCCATTACAGGAAGATGCCCACCATCACCTTGGTGCATGTTCATTCGCCGTTGATGGAATATGTCCATGTGTATTCTTGTGGTCTCAAGGTCTTTCCCTCAGTTTTCACCTTTTTTGTTGGGTTGAGGGCGAGGAAGGGGGTCGGGGAAAGTTATCACCTATTAGTGAGCATCCAATTTCTAATTATTAAAATATTCAATAGCACGATAGCAGTTTAGGGTCGCAGACATTTTACTGAGAGGCACACGATTAACCTACAATGCAACCATTGGATGATTGACCCAGAATGATTAACCAGCTTACCTGAAAACCAATGTAGAAGACCTAAAGCACTAGTTCCCATATGATACAACTGACCTCAAATTGCAATCACCTCAATCAACATGTTTGTCCATCCATATGCAGTGAAAATGCCCGAACTCGTAATTTTGATTTCCAGAAGAGACCAAGTCGATACCAAGTAAATGGAAAACAGGCACTTCATGATAAGTGACAACATTGCTTACCTTCTAAGGAGAAGAAAGGAGAATGTATTCAATAATCCAGTAGACTACCTCAAACTCAGTCTGTTAAGGGTCATCTCCATCCAATGAAATGCATGGTGATGGAGAGAGAACATGACAAAACAGGGCAGGCATTGACAAAGGTATGTCATACTCCATCAGTGTCCCTTTCATCTGACAGAGATTACCCCAAAAGGTTACAGTTTCTTTTATCATTAACATATTACTGCTTCTTATAAGTGCACAGGTATAATGGATAACATAGACCTTCGGTTGATAGTACACTTTGCCTAAAAAGTAGTATCGGTTGTTTATACAGATTTGGTGAAATCTACCCATCTATAGGATTGGGAACTAAGTTATGTGCATACATAGAGAATGGTAAATAACCTGATTTCATATCTACCCTGTCCACCTTCCCATATCGGTTGAATAGCCGCTCCACCTCGGACTGGCGAGCATCGTAGTCAAAGTTTCCACAGAATATGGGCCTCATCTTTTCTCAGAAACAGGCTTCAAGGAACTTCTCTCTGCAATATTAAAATAAAAAACCAGTATAGCTTTATACAAGAACCACCTAGGAGAACATAGAAAAACAGAAGTAGTGAAATGGCATAACATACAGATACAATTTGTAAGGATAAAATTTCATCAATTCGTCCATACCATGAGCATAACATAAATGCTAATACCTAAAACAATAAAGAGGAAAGGAGCCAAACAATACTTCACAATCATCAGATGCAATAACCTTCCCATTAGATTTGTGTTAGTATTATAACAAATATTGCCTAAATTTTTCATGGTTCTTCTTCAGATTGACCCAAATAAAGATAAAAATTACATAGCCTAATTCTTTCCAAGGACCCACATGAACTACAGATAGGAAAACAGAAACATCAAAATGCTAGAGGTGAAAATGGGGTATCCTCTATCGGCACATGTGGGGTACTTATCTTCTCTCCGACAAAAAACTGGGTTTTGAATATGAGATGATATTCATGAAAACAGTTTCCCAATTAATTTGAAAATATTTATTGCAGTGGTAGGTCTTATCAAATAATGTATTGCACTTGAAGGTATCATTTCCCACTCCCTAGCTTACAAACCAACTTTTTGAAAATCATGGGAGAATGGATGGAAAAAAATGGCCACCCAAGTGGTGTTTTTTTTTTTAATTCCAAATACATATGAACCAATGAAGGTCCCCATTTCCTCCAGACGCTTAACTTTATATTAAATTTTTATCAACGTTCAAAATTAAAGAGGCTATGGCACTGAATTTCAGAGAGGAAAATATCCCATAAATAGATCAATGGAAAATTTTATAATTATAGAAACAAACCAAAAAAACACCCAAAGAAAATTCAAGGGCAAAAATTTATCAAAAAAATTGCATATATTACCCATCATGATTATATCACTTGAAATTGTAGACAAGAGTCTTCAATTTTAAACAACTCTAGTACCAAAAGGAAAAAATATATAAAAACTATTATCTAGATTTTCAGATTAAAAAACCGGAAATTGATCAAAATACACTTTACTTACCAGTTATTCAAGACTCTACCCATTTTCAACAATTCCAACTCATGATTATGTATACTTGAAACTAAATAAAAGAAACGAGCAAAACATCAAAGAGTTAATCTCTTAGGTGCATTTTGATAAGTTTCCCAAAAAAGAAACAAAAATATTGAAAAGTTCAATTTCATAACTGGATCTAGTTCCATAATCACCAAAAACACAACAATAAAGCACATAGAACAAACAATGCCCATTTTAAGCACGAAATCTAACAAAAGAAAAAGATAAAAGAACAACGATCCCATAGTTGATAGTCATAAACGAATTCAGACAAAAACGTCAAAAATATCAAATAAATTGAAGAGAAGAAAAACACTGATAAGCCATTATTATGCAGATAAATAGACAACAAACACTAGAAAATAAATTAATTCCATACCTGAAATGAAACCCTAGAAACACCACACCCTAATACGCAGACGGCGAACAAAAAGAGAGTTTACGATCTAAATCTGAAATCCGCGACTAAATACGCGATCAGGACTTTATGAGAAGGGCAACGAATACCCCTCTCTTTGTTATTAAAGACGAAACTACTCCAATCCCTCACGAAAGACGAAAATACCCTTTTGAGCTTTTTGTCGCGTTGGAGTTCCTTTCAAAGTGGGATTAGTCAAGCGGTCAAATTCGGATCTGGGTCAGGGACGATCTTAGATGTAATCCGCTAGAATTAGGGCCAAGTTAGTGAACCCCATCTAATATAAATTCGTATAAAATCATATAAACAATACTATATAATATAAAATATATGAAATAAAATTCTATACATTTATAAACCTAGATGCCATCTGGGTCTGGATTGAGTCAAGACCTACCTTAGACATGGCGGGGTTGGTGTCAACTTGAACCTAACCCATTTTGAGCGCTAGTTAAAAAAAGGAAAGATATTAAGAGGTGGTTAGATTATTTCACTGCCTCTCTTAGGGCTTGCAATGATCTCGAGCTCCCAGCCCCGGCTATCCCGCCCTAAAAAGCTTGGATCTAGGCCGGGGTTAGGTGAAGTAGACTTAGACCTAGGCTAGAGTTAAAATTGGGCCAGCTCAACTTTGTCGTTTTTTTTTTTTTTTATTTCCTTTGAATCTATTAGGCTCAACTCAATCAGGGCAAGTTCAAAGTTGGGTTTGGGCTAGAACCTCATCTGCCTAGGCTACCGCTGGGCATAGCCTGGCTGTGGGGATCTGTTCCGAACAAGGGTTTGGCTAGTTGGCTTGGCCCTTGCTAACCCTAATACTAAGTTGTCAAAATTATTTTATTGTACGCAAATGTCTCGAAATAGGTATAGAACTTAGTTCCAATCAAGAAGGTGGACTCAGGTAGACTAAATTACGAGTCCCTTAATCTAATTTGTCGAGTCCAAGGTGGATTGGAAAAGGTTCAAGGGAAATTTATCAAATCACAACATTTCAACTATGGGCATGTATATTATGAGAACATCTATTTTGGTACAACATAGTCACAATCATTTTGGGGATTATTCGTAAAATGACCATTTATCTTTTGTATAAAGATGTCACAATCACTTTTGCTCTTAAATTTCAAAATGGATAGTCATAAAAGTGTCATTAAATGGACACAAAGCTCCAAAAACAAATTTACTAGACTTCTTGACTCACCCCAAAACATCAAATTTACATATAAGGAGTAAGAGACCTCCTAGTACTAAAGATAAATGGTCGATTCAAGGTTTGAAAAAAACATTGATCTAGATCGAAATGGCTCACTCTATAATGGATATCTTCAATATTGTTAACATGGAATCTCTTGATACATCAGGATCTGGCCGTATCCCCCTAGAATTGGCCTACTGGTTCTTTACAACAGAATTAGAGAGAACTGGTTGGGTCCACCAACTTCACTTACACAAACAACTATCATCATGCTTACCTCACGAGCATTCGGCTTTTATACCTATCATCACGCTTACCTCATGAACAACATCTTTCATTAATGAAATGGGATTCATACCTTTTATGGTGGCATTTTCTCCCACAATCCTTTGATGTATGATATCTCCAACTTCTACTTCAAAGTTAGACATTTATATGTCTACATTTTCATTAGCTCTATAAGAGCAAGTTCATCTACAAAAATGAAATAGTTAAGTTTTAATTCCATATAATTACAAAAAGAAATTCCATATAATTAATTTATAAAAATTAATATAATTATATTGAAATTATTATTGTTTATTTATCTTAATAACTTCTTATGCTCATTTCAGTATAATCATGTGAATATACTTATTATGTTTAGTGAATTTAATTATGTAAAATTTGTTCTCTTATTTACTATAATTATGTTACAAATTTTATTGCTATATTAAAATTTATATTGTTTCAAATACAATAAAACATTACATAATTTAATGTATTAAATAATTGCGTCAATAAATTGTGACTTCAAATACCCTTGCCAATAAGAAAAGTAGAAAACCTTAGTTTATTATTTCGACCAACATCACAATGTTTTTAATTCATATTTTCCATCTTCACCCTTTTAAATAGTTTGAATGGAAGTTAGCATATTAATCTTAATTAAATACCTTAATTGTAGAGTGCTTCCTGTATTCCTTTCTTCATTCCCTCTTTGTCTCTCTTTGTGTGTCTATATCTGGGTGTATAGATATAATCACACACACACATATATGGGAAAGTATAGAATGAGCTCATTTACCTGTGATATAAGGTGATCATACTAATCTTGACCATTTGATGTGACATTGGGTGGCTGCAATTATTCTCTTGACAAAGCTCCAAACTTTAAAAGAAACTTTTTTCGAAATTTGTGACACATCT